ACCACCCTCCCCCTCCCTCCATCCCCCATCCCCTCCCTCATCTACCCCATTCTCCCCTCCTCCCCACCCCGCCCTTTTTCCGCCCTCCTCCCTCCTTCCCTCCCCCACGCTCCCCAACCCCCTCTCAACCCCGCTCTCCCCCCCATCCACCTCACCACCCCTCACCCCACACTCGTCGCCCCTCCCCGCCACCCCTGCACCGGCGCGCTTCTTCATCTACCGGCTCATCGGCAACGACATGCCGCCGCTGCAGTGCGCGCAGCAGCTGCAGCGCAACACGCTGTACGCGCTGCAGCACGAGCCGCCCCTGCTGGAGCAAGCACGGCGCCTGTGGGTGCTGAACCACGTGGTGAATAGCACCGCGCTCGCTCACCTGGTGGCCGCCATGCGCGCCCACGGGGTCAAGGACGAGGTGTGACCTGCTGTGCTGTGCTGTGCTGTGCGCTTCACATGTGTGCCATGTGGTGTGCCTTATCACACCGTGTGCCATGCTGTGCCATCTCACCATGCCTTCATGCCATCACCCAAACTCGTGCCGCCCAACCACTTTCACATGGCCCCCACCGCCCCCCCCAGCAGGACATGCTCATGCGCCCGCTCAACCTCTCGCTCATCGCCACGCTCGACCCCTCCCTCTGGACCACCGCTGTCACCGGTGCGCGCCTTCCTCCCATCCCCTGCTGTCACCGGTGCGCACCCTCCTCCCATACCCTGCCTGCCCTCCATCCCATCCCATGTGCTCACGTGTACACCCTAATCCTCCTTATTTTCAAGGCAGCGAGAGACCCTAAATAATTTTCTGTCTAGTGATACAGACACCCAGAGATTACAGGGATATCATAAAATACGGAAGGCAGTCCAGACTAATGAAACTCGCACTTAGCGAGCCGATTGAAAGGGGTTTGGCAATGACGAAGTTGCTGCTTGCAGTTAGCTCGCGTGGGGTATGCGCGTCTATTCACCCGCTGAAGTCAGTCTACATGAACTACTCTCATGACCTAGCCTGACCTAGGGTAGTTACAATAGGCGTTGAAGATAACGGCGTTGAAAATAAGGCGGAACAGGTGTAGTGAAGCATGCGCCTCAAAGCTTGCTGCGTGTTTCTCTGAACATGGCGCATGATAGCAGGTTGGATCTCCTCGTGTATCCTTCAAAGCTGGACATGCCTGATGCACATGTCTCATTTTGGTACGAATGCTTTCCACAGCAATGCTGCTCACGTGGATCCTTTCTCCTTTTTGCTGGCATCCCGCCTCCCATACACAATCAAACCCCCCAATCCGTACCTCCCCCGCCCCACGCTGCTCATCCCCCTCTACGCTATGTGCCTGGTCTCCATGCCATACGAATATGTCATGCGGAAAGGCCCTGCACCCACGGGCCATATGCCCTCCCACTCCACCCATGCCGTCATCCTCATCGACCCCCCCACTCCCCCACCCTCCGGTTCCCCCCCCCATGGCGTCCCTCCATCAACACCCCTCCCAGCGCAGAACGAGGCGCGCAACTTGATGTTGGAGCACGCGCGCAGAGAGGGCGCGCAGTGGGTGCTGGCCTTTGACGGCAACCAGTTCCTCACCGCCGAGGCCTGGCGGTTGATAGTGCAGGCCGCTGACCGGCACGAGAAGAGGGGCTTTAAGGTGTTCAAGGTGCGTTGACAGGGCCCGCAGACAGCGCAGGGAGGGCGCGCAGTGGGTGCTGGCGGTGGACGGCAACCAGTTGCTCACCGCCGAGGCGTGGCGCCTCATCGTGCACGCCGCCGACAGACACGAGCACAAGGGCTTTAAGGTCTTCAAGGTGTATTGAAAATTTACATGGGGTTTGAAGGGGTTTCGTAAGACACAGGCAGCAGGTGAGTGCGCAGGTGAGGGCAGCAGGCAGCAGGTGAGGGCGCAGGTGAGGGCAGCAGGCAGCAGGTGAGGGCAGCAGGTGCGTGAATCATAATCTACCAGCAGTCCGTACTTGAAGGGGTTCTGTTAAATTCCACCCATGCCCAACACTTATACCCCTTGCGTCTTGGCCATGCGTGCATTCACAAGCTGTGTTTGGATTCGTGCGCGCGTGCGTGCGTGCCCCATGCTCTTGCCCCTTGGCTATGCTGTCATGTGCCATGCTGTGTGTGCCATGCTCTGTGCGTATCGCCCCTCCCACCATGTACCCAAGGACCGCTGTGTGCCCCACGCACTGCGCCAACCCCCCTCACCAGGTACCCATGTACAGGGTGCACCAGGAGCAGTCGCCCACATGGCTCAACGCCTCCTCGCGCTTCCTCCATCTGCGTCGCTTCGCCCCCCACCTGCACGAGAGCCAACTCGCCTTCCGCGCCGATGCGCCCTACCGCTACCAGCCGGGTGGGTGTGCCACATGCGCTGAGTTGCCGCGTCTTATGCTGCTTTTCCCGCCTTTCCACCGGGCAAGCATGGCATATGGCATATGGCATATGGCATATGGCATATGGCATATGGCATATGGCATATGGCATATGGCATATGGCATATGGCATGCACTACAAGGTGCATCTGCGAGGACAAGACGGGTATCACGCACTGGAGTGACTGCCTTGTTTCCCCTCCTCCCCACTCCACCTCTGTCTCAAATGGTCCTTCGTTGACATAGGCATCGGTGGTGAGCTATCATCCTAGCAGCCTAGCTCCCTACCCTGCGTCCTCTAGGGCGCGGCTGCCGCTCCTTCAAGGGCGTGGAGGAGCTGTCCGATTCCTAGGGGTTTGGGGAAGTGTTGCACGTGATGGTGCCGCCAGGAACGCGGCATGTGTCTCTCTGGCTCTGCCCCCTGGCTCCATTGCGGCAACTTGGCGCTGCCTGCTTGGCCAGTACTCACTTGAGTCATGCTCGTATGGGTTCCCCTGCTGTGTGCACCCCGTCTTGCAGGCATGGCGTACGGGCGGGACAACAAGACGGAGCTGCTCACACAAAGTGGGCTACAGTCGCTCCAGTGACTGCCGCGTTTCCCCTCCTCACCCCTCCCGTGTCACTGTGGCTCTCCCCCCTGGCGCCACGCGGCAGGCATGGCGTACGGGCAGGACAACAAGATGGAGCTGCTCACACGCGTGTGCGGGTCGGGCAAGTTCAGAAAGAAACACTTCCGGCTCTGGCAGCTGCAGGCCGAACAGGCGCAGCAGCAAGCCATGCTGGCGGCACAGCAGGTAGAGAAAGAGGGGCATGAGGGGCTGGGGAAGGAGCAGGAGCAGCAGGGGCGGGCGATGGCAGTGGGAATGTCTGGGTTGCCTGAGGTGGACGATGATGGTGACGAGGGCGAGGGCGAGGGCGAGGGCGAGGAGGAGGTGGACAAGGGGCGGTGTGGGTGCCACAGGGAGGTGGGGTTGGACGCGGGGTACCAGCGCGGGAAGCAGCTGGTGGCGTACGAGTGCGGGTACAGCATCCGCCTGTGGTACTTCCCGTGCGCCCACGTGGACGTGGAGAAGATGTTCCTCAAGGCGCACTACCGCGCGCAGCTCAGGGAGGAGGGCCGGCAGCAGCTGCACACCTTGATTGAGCAAGCTATAGAGGGGGCTGTCAAGGGGTGGCACAATACAACGATGCAGTAATTGATGCTTAAAGGAACGCTCTTTCAGCATTGCAGGACCCTGAGAAGAGGACCACCCGCACAAGGCCCTAGACTAGTGTTGTATAAATGGGGTGTCTGTTTCTTTGGCTGGTGACTCTGCTGGTTCAAAAAGAGCTCAGGAGAGTGCACTGGCTAAGCTCAAATGAGCTCAGGAAAGTGCACTGGCTAAGCTCAAATGAGCTCAGGAGAGTGCACTGGCTAAGCTCAAATGAACTCAGGAGAGTGCACTGGCTAAGCTCAAATGAGCTTCTTGTTATAAATGGAATGGAACAAGCAAGCGAGCAACTGTTTACCATGACTATGGGTCCCTTATTGGACCCTGATTTTCAGAGGATATGTATAATCGTCTACCCTTGCTGGCATAAACATATTAAGGGTGGCTCGCCACCAGCTCCAGGTCCTGGACAGACTCCCTGTAGGTACTTGTCACGTATCACGATTCCAACATGCTGGCGTTGCTTGGAAATGGCAGCAGGAATGGTGCAACAAGGTGGTAGGAGTGCTGCTGAGGTCCGAGAGAAGGGCTGTGGAGGTTAAGCGGCACTGCTGCATGCAGTGTTCTTCCCGGCAGCAGCAGAGAAACCACTTCGTGTCGGCCGAAGAGGCAGCCGTTGTAGCTAATCCGAGTGAGTGGGAGCGAGTAGGGCGTACACGTGCATGTGGTGCAAGAGCGTCTCGAGCAGTGGGAGGTGGAGTGGGGGTGGGAACTACCGGTAGTGCGTGTGCAGCAAAAGGAGCTAGGTGGCGGAGGAAGGTAGCGGGTGTGGCAGCTAGTGGCGGTGGAAGGTAGCGGGTGTGGCAGCTAGTGGCGGTGGAAGGTAGCGGGTGTGGCAGCTAGTGGCGGTGGAAGAGGCGGCCGTGGCAGCTAGTGGCGGTGGAAGAGGCGGCCGTGGCGGGCGCTGACGGCCTCACAGAGGCGGCACGGCAGCGAGCGGAAGCCCAGCGCGTCCACGTGGGCGTAGTGCCCCCACACACCGCATGTGCGCCACGCGAACAGATCCATGTACTTCACTGCATGGGGGGAAGGGGAGGGGGATGGGGAGGGCAGTGAGTGGTGCAAACAACATGTAGCCCATAGGCCATGGAACGGGCATCCACGTGGGCGTAGTGCCCCCACACACCGCAGTGCACGGAAGCACATATACGCCATACATTGCACGGAAGCACATATACGCCATACATTGCACGGAAGCACATATACGCCATACATTGCACGGAAGCACATATACGCCATACATTGCACGGAAGCACATATACGCCATACATTGCACGGAAGCACATATACGCCATACATTGCACGGAAGCACATATACGCCATACATTGCACGGAAGCACATATACGCCATACATTGCACGGAAGCACATATACGCCATACATTGCACGGAAGCACATATACGCCATACATTGCACGGAAGCACATATACGCCATACATTGCACGGAAGCACATATACGCCATACATTGCACGGAAGCACATATACGCCATACATTGCACGGAAGCACATATACGCCATACATTGCACAGAAGCACATATACGCCATACATTGCACGGAAGCACATATACGCCATACATACGCTGGCCTGGGCAGGTTAAGAACTGTATCAGGGCAGGCAAAATATAGCGGTGGGGATGGTAGAGGCGCAAAGCATCAACGACCCCCACTTTCCTCCCCACGTACACACAGTTCAGTCACACTCGTCATTCAGAACGAGGGAACAAACAGAACGATGACTATTGAATGGAGACAAGAGGCACTTTTGTGCTGGAAGAGGCGAGTCTGGTCCAAGTCGAAGATAGCTCCTCCACTCCACATTCAGTTGCAAGGGGTTGGGAGTTGAGTTGTTCAGCGAAACAGGGGGTGCTGTTGTGCTCAAGCTGGTATGCTTTTGCTTTTTTTTTTTTTCTTAGGACTGTCCGTGCGTATCTTGGCGTATTAACCAAAAACAGCGCACGTATGATTGGCACTCACAGGGGTCGAGATGCAGCTCCTGCAGGGCGGCAAGCAGCTCGGCGGGGGTGGGAAGCTTCCTCCCGTCGATGTACGAGCCGGGCGGCATGAAGTTGTCCACATCTGGTGCACCATAGTAGATTGGCACCGTGCCTTGTGGGGCGGTGGGAGGGTGGGAGTCCAAGGGGAAGGGAAGTCGAAGGTGGGGATGCAGGAATTAGGGGATTGAGCGGGAAAGTCATGATAGGTATAAGCGCTATATGTTGGTACATTTTTATCTAATGACAAGTACAAGCACTTCTTTGATGTCATGATAGGTATAACCGCTATATGTTGGTACATTTGTATCTAATGACAAGTACAAGCACTTCTTTAATGGCATAATAGGTATAAGCGCTATATGTTGGTACTAAGTGTAAGTGCGTTACTTGAACTTATACTTGGTACTAAGTATGGGTGCGTAATTAAAGTTTTGTAAGAAGTATAAGTGCGTTACTTACACACAGGTTCAGCAGTATCAAGGATATGTGCAGTACTTAAACTTATGCCAAGGCAGGTGTCATGTACGGCTTTAAACCCACCTGCTTCAAGCGTGCGGAGAAGCTTCCAGGAAACGAAGCCCATGAGGCGGGGGTCATCGACAACGAGTTCGAACTTGTAGTTGGAGGAGAGGCAGTGCGCCTTCTGTGCGTGCTGTGCGTGCGCTGCCCTGCCGCGGGGAGGGACAGGGGAGTGGGGAGGGAGGGGGGTATAAAGAAGAGAATGAGCAATGTCAAAGGATAGAGAGTTAATCTGGGTGAGCTCGATCTGATTCAGTGTGAGTCCAAGCTCGTCTGGTTGGCTTGACCAGCACAGTACCGGTGGGCGGCGTCCCCCAAAGGTTCAAGTCGCAGCGGTTTGGGTTTGGCCCAGTTACCAGGCCGGAAATGCAAGATCTCCAGCTCAATGATAAGCTCTGAGTGGTCGGGGCGGGAAGTAGAGCACAAGATTACAGTGAAAACTGTGGAGTACAAGATCCCAGGCGGGCAGGGGAGCACCAACTCCCATGTGAGAAGAGCGCAGTGACTGACGTGGAGGGGCAGTGACTGACGTGGAGGGGCAGTGCACTGACGTGGAGGGGCAGTGCACTGACGTGGAGGGGCAGTGCACTGACGTGGAGGGGCAGTGCACTGACGTGGAGGGGCAGTGCTCTGACGTGGAGGGGCAGTGCACTGACGTGGAGGGGCAGTGCTCTGACGTGGAGGGGCAGTGCACTGACGTGGATGGGCAGAGCACTGACGTGGAGGGGCAGTGCACTGACGTGGAGGGGCAGTGCACTGACGTGGATGGGCAGAGCACTGACGTGGAGGGGCAGTGCACTGACGTGGAGGGGCAGTGCACTGACGTGGAGGGGCAGTGCACTGACGTGGAGGGGCAGTGCTCTGACGTGGAGGGGCAGTGCACTGACGTGGAGGGGCAGTGCTCTGACGTGGAGGGGCAGTGCACTGACGTGGAGGGGCAGTGCTCTGACGTGGAGGGGCAGTGCACTGACGTGGAGGGGCAGTGCTCTGACGTGGAGGGGCAGTGCACTGACGTGGAGGGGCAGTGCTCTGACGTGGAGGGGCAGTGCACTGACGTGGATGGGCAGAGCACTGACGTGGAGGGGCAGTGCACTGACGTGGAGGGGCAGTGCACTGACGTGGATGGGCAGAGCACTGACGTGGAGGGGCAGTGCACTGACGTGGAGGGGCAGTGCACTGACGTGGAGGGGCAGTGATCTGACGTGGAGGGGCAGTGCACTGACGTGGAGGGGCAGTGCTCTGACGTGGAGGGGCAGTGCACTGACGTGGAGGGGCAGTGCACTGACGTGGAGGGGCAGTGCACTGACGTGGAGGGGCAGTGCACTGACGTGGAGGGGCAGTGCGATGACGTGGAAGGGCAGTGCACTGACGTGGAGGGGCAGTGCACTGACGTGGAAGGGCAGTGCACTGACGTGGAGGGGCAGTGCACTGACGTGGAAGGGCAGTGCACTGACGCGGAAGGGCAGTGCACTGACGTGGAGGGGCAGGTGTCATTGAAGAGCACGTCCTCGTTGGAGTTGTTGAAGTTGTTGCCGCACTGCCCAAAGCTGTGCGTCGGTATGTGCACTGCCACCTGCACACACACACACATACGCGCACACAGGTCATGCGTGTGTGATTATTCGATGCACGCTCGCTCACGCAGAGAGAGGGCTCGCGAGGTGAAGGGGTGAAGGAGTGAAGGCCCAGGTACCATGAGGCGCAGTGAGGTCACTAGTTCCAAGTGCTCCCAGTGCAAGCTCGGTTCAAACAAACGCTGCACACGCCACCGCTGTGCATACCTGAGTGCCGGGAGCGAGCAGGGTGGGGTCCTGGCAGTCGTCCTCGTGCCAGTACACCAACGTGTCCTGCCATGTGGGGGGGAGGAGGGGGTGGGGGAGATGACTTTTGAGTCGACTCAATCTGTTGAGTCGACTCAAATCTGTTGAGTCGACTCAGGGGTCCTGGCAGCCGTCCTCGTGCCAGTACACCAACGTGCCCTGCCGGGCCGGGGCGGGCGGGTGTGTGCTTTCAGAACTGCCCACGTGGGGAGGCAGCACAGCAGCGTGCTGTGGTCGCGGGTGGGGTGGTGCGCACTGAGGGAGGTGCACATGCCCGTGCGTGATTCCTGGCGAGCACATGGGCTGTTGAAGAGGGCGAATGCGAGTTGAAATTGACAAGGGGATGGGGTGGGGATGGGGATAAGGATAGGGATGGGGATGGGCATGGGGAAAAGGATGGGGATGGGGATGGGGATGGGGATGGGGATGGGGATGGGGATGGGGATGGGGATGGTGATAAGGATGGGGTTAGGGATGGGGATGGGGATAGGGATAGTGATGAGAATAGGGATGGGGAATGGGGATGGGGATGGGGAATGGGAATGGGGATGGGAATAAGATTGAGAGTTAGAATGCGAGTGGGAATGGGGGTGGGAAAACGAGTGTGAATGTAATGCTAGTAGGGATGCGAATGCAAGCAGGAATAGGAATGGGAATGGGAAAGCAAGTGAGATTGCGAATGTGAATGCGAGTGGGAGTGCGAATGGGCGTGGTAATTTGAGTGGGATTGGCAACGTGAGTCAGATCAGAATGGGGATGAGAATGGGAATGGGAAAGCAAGTGGGAACGGAAAGGGATTGAGAATGGGAAAGAAGCACGAGGACGTTGTTAGTGCGGAGGAGTGCGAGAAGAGGGGCTGCACGATTCTATGGCTGCACTGCACGTGGAAACAACCACTGCCTTTGCAAAGCGGCCAGACAAGAACTTGAGGGGCACCTTTGCACGGCAGGCACACAGAAGCGGCACTGCGGTAACTCGCCCTCTCTCCCAACCACAGGCACCTGGAACTTGAGACAGAAGCGGCGGCACTACTGTACCTTTCCCTCTCCGCCACTCGCACCTGGAACTTGAGGGGCTGCAGCCCGTGCTGCCTGCCGGTGGGCATGGCATCGGAGAAGCGCGCGAAGGAGAGCTGCACGTCCGCCCCCCTCCCCCACCACACCGCCACGTCCCCCTCCTCCACCCTGCCGCCCCCCGCCGCCCCCGCCGCCCGCCCCATGTCCAGGTAGACCTGCAGCGGGTCGCCCACCTGGCAGGGGGGGGTGTGGAATGGGGGGGGGCGTGGCTGGGCGCACAGCTTTGTGGGCGGCATGCTATTAGAGGGAAAGCAGTAGCAGGGAGCGCAATGAGAGGGTATACAGTCACCGCTGGCGATCATCCGGGTGCAGCAGGGTGGTGGGGTGGGGCGAGTGCAGAGAAGGAGCAGGGCGGGGCGGAGGGCACGGGAGAGCGCAGGGCTAATGGAGGAGAGTGGCAGGCAGGAGGCAGGTGAGGAAGCATGGTGGTCACACCGCCCCGCCCCGCTGCTTCCACGGCCCTGCCCGCCCAGCCCCCTTCCCCCCTCCCGCCCTTCCCCCCTCTGCTGCACTCCCCTCTGCTTTCGCTACTCCGCTTCTTCCCCCCTGCTGCTCCCCCTCCTGTGTTGTGCCCTGCCCACCTGTCGGCCGGGCGGGGGCGTGTTGGGGGCGACGTGGAGAGTGGCGTCCGCATGCGACGCCATGGGCTCACTGAACGTTATCTGCACAGGGGCGACGCGTGGGGTGCGGGATGAGGTGGTGCGGGAGAGGAAGGTGGTGAGGGAGAAGGTGGCAAGAGGGGGATTGACCATACATTTAAACAAGCATGGAACGATGCACACCCCACATGGCGCTCCCACAGCCTGGTGGCCGTGCATGGGGGCACGGTGGCATGGCATGGGTGCATGGGACATGGTGCATGGGGACATGGTGACATGCATGGGACATGGTGACATGCATGGGACATGGTGACATGCATGGGACATGGTGACATGCATGGGACATGGTGGCATGCATGGGACATGGTGGCATGCATGGGACATGGTGGCATGCATGGGACATGGTGGCATGCATGGGACATGGTGGCATGCATGGGACATGGTGGCATGCATGGGACATGGTGGCATGCATGGGACATGGTGGCATGCATGGGACATGGTGGCATGCATGGGACATGGTGGCATGCATGGGACATGGTGGCATGCATGGGACATGGTGGCATGCATGGGACATGGTGGCATGGGGGCAGGGGGGCATGGGGGCATGGGGTAGGCGCATGGGGGTGAGGGCATGGGGTAGGCGCATGGGGGTGCACGGGAGATGGCATCATCCTCTCTTGCCGCAAACCCTCATCCCCTCAACCCCTTACTTCCTCATCCCCTCACTCCCTCATCCCCTGACTCCCTCATTCCCTCACTCCATCCATCCCCTCATTCCCTCATCTCCTCACTCCCTCACCCCCACTTCTTGCTGTTTTCCCTGAACCGCACTGCACCGCTTTCTAGCATCTCACATCACTCTGCGCCTGTCCTCCCTCGAGCTCCGCCACACCGTTTCCACTCACTCCCGCGCGCACCTGGCGGCGGCCTGCACGTCGAACTTGCCGTCCGTCTGGGTTTCGTTGAACAGCCCGCGCCCGAAGCCCTCGTCGCGGCGCGCCGCGTCGCCGTCGGGGCGGCCGAAGTACGTCTCCGCGTCGATCTCGAGGTCTGTGGGGACCAGCGTGGCCGCCACGATCAGTAAGCTCAGTAACGCTGCGAATGCTGCGAAATGTAACGGTCGTTTTTGCGGATGGATGGCGGTGATTGACGAGCGAATGCAGTCGAGGATGTCGGAAAAGAGAATGCGGATATCTGACACGTGGCTGCGGCTGGTTGGTTCGAGGTCACCCGTTATGGGACGCGGCTTGTGACGAACCTCCATTGGGACAGACTGTTACTGCCTCTCGTGGTGCAATGCCTTGGGTGTTACACGTGGATATGGTTTCACGTATACACTAAACCAGTTCGACTGTTACTAGCCACAGGGCGACACGCGAGTAAGTGGAAGAGAGAGCATGACTGCTCTGGGTGCGATAGTCAACTGGAAAGCATAATAGCATGTGGAGCGAAGCGCACTCTGGAGGCAGGAGCGCCGCGGCGCGAGAGGTGAGAACTGGCAGGGAGACGGGAAACGGCCAGGAGGTTTGGCCGACGATACGCGATAGTGTATGGTGCCCCGCCTAACCACGACAATCGCAACGGACACCGATGATGGGGGTGCGAACTATTTTTCGCCGCTTGGGTTACACATGAAACTATTCACAGCTGTGACGAGCTTAGTATATCTCGCCCAATGTTTCAGTTTTGTCTCGCCGAAATTCGCGAGAACGGTGTCACAAGCTTTCGAAAGATGGATTGCGTGAACCCTGGAAACCCAAATTCTTGCTTCTGTTCCGCAAAATCTTGAAGGGAGCAAGCTTTTCTGCCCCCGCCCCTGTTTTTCGCGATATTCTCGACATCGTAGCGAATGTTACATTCCTAGCCCTACACGTTCACAAGTCTTTATGACAATGGCTTCGGCGATGAATCTGGAGATCTATGTGCGCTCCATTGTACAGTACTATACAGGGTCCGGACCGGACTCCGGATTCGTCTGTGTGGCCTCAAACGAATCAACAACAGCCAGTGCCAGCTCCCCCTCTTCTTCCGCCGATTTCGTGGATTCCCAGAACCTATCACAGGTCCCGTCGTTTGGGGTTCTGGAAATCCACGGGACGTGGAATCGTGGATATGGCTCCCGCAGCCCGCTCCTTCTAGAGCAAGAATCCAACCAATGGGACTCAAGACGTTGAAATATCATCCTCCACGCGTACTGGCCCTCACGACGAGACAAAAACACTCGGGTCATGTCGCCCATTTTGCCTCCCTTCGGCTGCTATATCACGAGCAAGGAGTGGTGCAAATCTGCCTGAGTGAATGCACGGTTCACAGTACAGTAGACGGCCTTGCCTCATTATCCCGAGCGCGGCGCCAGCCGCCTTTCCTGTGCAGAATAAACGAGCGGCTACAAGTTAGGATTTGTCGATAAAGAAAGGAATTTACCCGTCGGAGTTCGTAGTGAGCGGCGTTTCGTACACCCCTCAACTTCCCGTCGCGAATGGAAAAAGAAGGACCTTTCGTAGCTGAGGAAAAAAACGGCAGCATGATAGAGCACGATGAACAGCGCATCTCCATCGTTTATCTTCAGCTCCAACTAGGTGATCGTGGGTAGTGAGAGTCTATACTGTATTTTGTCGCTGTTGCCGCTTCAGGAGTCTCACATCCAGGGCCGTTTACCGCTCTGTCATTGTCCCTATCTCGCGGCCTATCACACAGGTTCGCGACGAGGTCGTTTCAGAACGTCTAGAAGATAAATTCTTCCGTTTCGCCTAGTCTGCGCGACAAGTCTACCCGTCAGGTCGTTGAGCCAAGCGACTATTTAGTAGCAGCGCAAACCACCAGCCATGACGACGATTCGACATGGCTCTCTCCTCGCGGTTCTGCTGCTGCTCGTCGTCAGTGTTCTCCCACCCACAGTAAACGCCGCACGACTGATTCCGGCGCCGTCTGCTTGCAGGTGTGATCTCATCGTTACATCTTGCTGTTTTCACTTCTCTCAAAGAGAATCCCCCCTCCCCACCCTTCTCCCAACCCAACCCCCTCCCTCCCTTCCCCATCCCTCCGCTCGCATTCCCTCCCGTTTCGATTGTTCCTCCGAGGGAAAGAGAGTCCCTTCTTCCAACGCCACAGCCGATCCCTCTCCTCCTCTTCGCCTTCCCCTCGTCCCAGCTTCTACCCATGGTTTCTCGAGTCAAGCTCGCATTCTTTACCCTCTTTCTCTTCGCCGTTTTCGTGAATGTTCGCAGCAAGCTCCGTTGGCCCGAGGTGGTGGGGATGGAGGGGACGAAGGCTCGCGATTACATTCTTGCTTCCGGGCCGCAGTGCCGCTGGGACGTGAAACTCATCCCTGCCGACGGATATGCTACCGGGGAATGTCGCCGAAACCGAATCCTAGTTTTTCTCGACAATCGCGGGCTTGTTCGGCTGGTGCCAGAAACATGTGTTAAGCCTAAACTAAGATAACTCCCAGTACCTCTGTTCTGAGACGTGCCTCACTCCCAGTGAAGCAAAATTACTACTGTTGTGCAAGCCACGACAACGGGCGGGTTGAGAAAGAGCTGCAGGCAACGTTCTTTTTAGTGGCCGAGTGAATTGAACCCCCACCATTTGCCTTTTGCAGAATGTGATTGTATGCACTCCAGTGCGGTAATGTGCGTATGGCCATTTACCAGACATTCAATGCATCCCTGCATTAGCATTGTTTTTCACTCTGGGATGGTGGTTTCCACGTTTGCTGCAGCACAAATGCCATTATGTACAGATAACAAAATGTTCAGAGAAGCCAGCATTCCATGTCGTTGGGCTACAGCTACCGGTACTTCGTGAAAGTAACCCGGGCCGCCGACGCCGTGAGTGGCGCGTTGGCGTGGGGGCGCATGTGCAGCACACAGCAGTCCAGCACAGCTGCCCCGTCAGCACACAACGGTCCAGCACAGCTGCCCCGTCAGCACACAGCAGTCCAGCACAGCTGCCCCGTCAGCACACAACGGTCCAACACAGCTGCCCCGTCAGCACACAGCGGTCCAGCACAGCTGCCCCATTAGCACACAGCGGTCCAGCACAGCTGCCCTGTCAGCGAAGCGGTCCAGCACAGCTGCCCGTCAGCACACAGCGGTCCGGCAAAGCTGCCCCGTCAGCACACAGCGGTCCGGCACAGCTGTCCTAATGCCACAGACTAAGTCCACGAGAGTGTGCCCTGTGGGGTCGGGAGGGGGAAATGGGGGGAGGGCGTGCAGTGGGGAGGGTGAGGGGAGGAGAGAGTGAGTGGGGATCAGGATTAAATCGCACGGTGTCACCTCGTGCCGCAGAGTAAGCAGACGGGGTGTGAGTGGGCAGACGGGGTGTGAGTTAGCAGACGGGGTGTGAGTGGGCAAACGGGGTGTGAGTGGGCAGAGGGGGGTGAGTTAGCAGACGGGGTGTGAGTGGGCAGACGGGGTGTGAGTGGGCAGACGGGGTGTGAGTGGGCAGACGGGGTGTGAGTGGGCAAACGGGGTGTGAGTGGGCAGAGGGGGTGTGAGTGGGCAGACGGGGTGTGAGTGGGCAGACGGGGTGTGAGTGAGCAGACGGGGAGTGAGTGAGCAGACGGGGTGTGAGTGAGCAGACGGGGTGCGCACTTGCATCTGCCATTCGCACACGCCACTCGCACACTCCACTCGCACGCGCATTCGCACACGCCACTCGCACACGCCACTCGCACGTGCCACTCGCACACGCCACTGACACACGCCACTCGCACGCCACTCGCACACTCCACTCGCACGCTGCACTCGCACGCGCCACTCGCACGCGCCATTCGCACACGCCACTCGCACGCGCCATTCGCACGCGCCACTCGCACACGCCACTAGCACACGCCACTCGCACACGCCACTTGCACGCGCCACTCGCACGCGCCACTCGCACTCGCCACTCGCACGCACGCGCCACTCGCACAAGCCACTCGCACGCCACTCGCACACGCCACTCACACTCGCCACTCGCACCCGCCACTCGCACGCGCCACTCGCACGCTCCACTCGCACGCGCCACTCGCACGCGCCACTCGCGCACGCCACTCGCACACGCCACTCGAACACGCCACTCTCACACTCCACTCGCACGCGCCACTCGCACTCGCCACTCGCACGCTCCACTCGCACACGCCACTGACACACTCCACTCTCACACTCCACTCTCACACTCCACTCGCACGCGCCGCTCGCACACGCCACTCGCACGCGCCACTCGCACCTGTTGCGCTCACCTGCTGCTGCGTTCACCTGCTGGTGCGCTCACCTGCTGGTGCGCTCACCTGCTGGTGCGCTCACCTGCTGGTGCGCTCACCTGCTGGTGCTCTCACCTGCTGGTGCGCTCACCTGCTGGTGCGCTCACCTGCTGGTGCGCTCACCTGCTGGTGCGCTCACCTGCTGGTGCGCTCACCTGCTGGTGCGCTCACCTGCTGGTGCGCTCACCTGCTGGTGCGCTCACCTGCTGGTGCGCTCACCTGCTGGTGCGCTCACCTGCTGGTGCGCTCACCTGCTGGTGCGCTCACCTGCTGGTGCGCTCACCTGCTCCGTGCAGTCGAGCGCAAGCCTGCGCCACGCCACGTCTTGAGCAAACGTGATGCCTGTCCCTCCCCCGCCCTGTCCCTCCCCCACCCTGTCCCTCCCCCGCCCTGTCTCTCCCCGCCCTGCCTCTCCCCCGCCCTGCCTCTCCCCCGCCTGGTCCCCCCTGTCCGCGCGCCCATCTGCAGCTGCATCGCCCGTGAGCGCCACTGCTGCTGCGCGCTTGGCGTAGCTTTCGCGCCGTGGCCGACCGTGTATTGGCTTCCTGCGCGCTCATTCGCAACCTTCGCGCCCGCTGCGCCGCTACTTTTACCTTTCGCGGCGTGCGACATCCTTTTACCTTCCGACAGCCCGTCCGCGCCCCTCCCAGCCGCAAGGTCCTCTTGGTGGCGGACATAACGCGGGAAGCGCGGAACCAGCAGACGCGGAGATTTGCTGCGCGGGGAGCGGATGGGGGACGACGAAGCGGCGACTGGCGGCGGGTAGAGGAGGAGAGTAGCCCGCAGCGCTGAGCGAGGCGCCGATCAGTCGCGAGGGCGAGAGTCGCCGCCGTCGCCATCATCATCGGCGCTGCGCTGCCCGCCGCCACCGCGACGCGACCATGATAATCGTGGCGTCGGCGACAGTCGCTTTTGGCTGAGCGTGCGGCGCAGCTGATCGCGAGCGGCCCTGGCGCTCTCATGCTGCCGCTGCCGCTGCTGTGAAACGATCGCAGAGGGATCGTCGCGATGGAAAGAGACGACGCTCGTCTTCTGTCCGCGATCGCGGGCTCGTTACGAAACACATCGAAGGGGCACAGATCATTAATCATGTGCCGCGGCGTGCGGAATCTATCTCAAACGACCCACTTTCAACGCGTACCGTAAATCCCGCCGTCATGCAATGGGCGGCACCCCGCAACGGGCGTCGCTCGCAACGGGTGTCGCTCCGACGGCCATCATGCGGCCCTTCAACCGCCAGTTTGAATCAAGGGCGCTGTTATGTTGCCCCATTTGGTTTGCGGCAACAAACGCAGAGCACCCGTTGACGTAACCCTAGGAACCGAGAGCTTCAGTTACACGGGTGCGTTCCTTGAAGCCAGGGTCTGAAAGTGTTCTGCGATTGCTCTTGGAACACTCACGGGATGTGTCGCAATAACTTACCGTTGGCAACTCACAATGACAATGACAAGGCCGCCATGGATTCCTCCGCAGACTTTCGAGAGCCTATTTCGTGAAGGTTACTTAGAGGGGGTCTCAGATGTCTGAGTCCACGTGGGTCCGGCTCGGACCTGACGGACCAGCTCAAGAACCAGCGCGTGAACCAGGGCGGACCGGGACCAGGATTTGGGGCTTGTAACCCCATTATACTGTTCGAATGGCACTAAAACGGTGCCATTTATTTGACCCTCCAGACCAGTCCGCCCCTAGTCCGTAAACAGTGGTTGGGGAAACATTTGTCTTGGCGAAATTTCTTGTTTTGTAAGTTCCGCGTGAGATTTTTGTGCAGACGCAAGAAAATGGGTAACTAAATCACAAATTCGTCGCTGCTGCTGCATCTCGCAAATACTGTGCAGCCCGAAGCGCGACGCATCAGGCAGACCAGTCCGTGTCTGGTCCAACGCTGGTCCGCCAAGTGGGTCCGTCGGGCCAGAACCCCGGGCCAGGCGTATAGATTCTGGTCGCGGACCAGATCCAGCGGACCCTTCACATGGGACACGTCCTTATCAGCTCGTAACTTTGAAACCAGATCTGAGGTCCTGAGTACACTACGTTGCAGAGGATATAACTTTTATGTCTACTACGCGGACATTATAACCTCGGCTACTCAGGTGTATCTCAAAATTGCATGCACATTCCGAGCTAACCAATCTCCAGGGCTTCTTGAATCCGTCATCAACCATTCAGGCCTTCATAATGCTGATCAACAACACTGTTCTATCCAACGATTCTGGTCCACCTACATATCTGATCGAACATCAAGGCATGATCCCAAGGCGAAGACCTCGGGAGTTCATCACTTCTTTCATGAAAGAAAGTCCCTAGCACCAATGACACGTTATAAGAAGGTGGTGCTCAGTCCTCAAGCAGCATCAGTTTCATTCGCCTATCGGTCAACATCTTGAGAGGGAGGGAGAGGGAGGGAGGGAGGCAATGGATTTTGTGTTTGGGAACGGAGTGGGCGACGTGCAGAGTAGGAAAGTGCAGTGCGAGAGGAGACGGTATAGTGCAACGGCTGTCGCAGAGAAGGAGCTTACACTACACGCACTCTCTCTTGGACCACTCACACACACTCTCAACTGCACCTTGCACACACACTCGCTCGAACACCCCCTTCACTCTCTCATCTCCCCCCCAACACCCCACTCCCGTCACATGAGCACCCCTCCGCCAGCGTTAACAATAGTTACGTTTAGGGCGAAATTGCATTGACTCACGTTGAATGGCTTCAAAACCTTGGAAAAGGACGCCTCCTGCCGCCCACTGGAAGCTGAGGTTGACCGGAGTCAATAGCCCCGCTGTGAAGAATGCATACCAAAATTTAGCAATATATTCAAAGAATAGAAGGATTCAGATATACTATTCCAATAACATTGCTCCGATATTATCCCCGAAGTCAGAACACGATCTCGAATCACAACCACATCACTGACATGCGAATCTCCAGGCCTCTGCTTCAAGCACCACCTTCACACGACTCCCTCTGCCACACTCCGTGCATCGTCGCCTACGCTCATGTTCTCCCAGTCCCTCACCGCATGTCTCCCATGTTTCGACTCTAGAATCTCTTCGCAAAGCTTGGTTGCCCCTGGCTTAGGTGCCTTGAGAAGAGCGGAACGTTATTTAGCATCGCAAGTCACGGTTGTCGATTCAGATAGGTTGCGCGTAAAGAGCTCGCCTTCGCATCGAGGGGTGTCGCAGCAGGCGCAAGAGCCGTCGCACGACGACAGCGCGACGCAAGAGCGTTTCACCACCATGCGTTGTCGCGATGCACCATCGCTTCGACCATGCTGAGTGCCGTCCTAGTTACCGCGCTTTACTACGAATCCCATCCTCACCGAATTGCGCGCAGTAACCGTACGTTCCGCCATGGGGCGGCGCATGGCGGCGCTGCGATGCGCGCCGTGCGGCTGGAGGCGAGTCTTGGCGGCGGGGGTGCTGATGGCGCTCGCGCTGGTTGCGCTCGATATCGCGACCGACTATGACGAGGACGACGATGCGGGCTTGCGACCACGCGGCATGCTATTTGATGAGGTGGATGATGACGGCCCGGATGATCTCTGGACGTTGGAGACGAAGATGAGCCGTGGATTCGCCCCAGGGACGAGATCTAACGGTTGCGACCGCGTCGACGCTTTAGTCGTCGCGGATGTGAGCTTCAGCGCCCCCTCCCTTCCGCCTACCCTCGGCACATTTTTCTGGTCATTCCCCACCTCCCCGTCCTCTCCCTTTTTCCATTCGTTCGTGTCACCCACTCGCACTCTCCCTCACTCTCCTCGCTCATTCTCGTCTCACCACGCCCCCCATGCCCATGCGCTGCGCGTGGCAGGGCGAGCTGGGCGAGAGGGTGCACGCGGTGTGCGCGGCGTCCGCCATGACGGCGCTGAGCTCGCTGCTCACGCTCGCCGTGTGGCCGGCCGACCGCCACATGCCACACGTCCGCTTCTCCCACCTCTTCTCCCTCACGCCGCCCGCGCCCGCCTCCTCCTCTGCCGACAGCCCTGCCACGCCCGCCCCCAACGCCACGGCGGGGGGGGGCAGCGGGGGGGGCAGGGGGAGCGGGGAGAGTGCGTTCGTGGGCGGGCCGGAGCGGCGAGTGTGGGTGCGCGAGTCAGCGCTGCCTGCTGCGGCGTGGAGGAGCGAGCTCAACCTCGCCAGGCGCACGGTACACCTCCTTGCCGTTGCCGCCACCCCTCTCCCCTTTCACACCCATCCTCACCCCTCACCCACCCCTCGTCTCCCCGCAGTCACTTACCCCTCCTCCACGCGTGCATGCCTGCGTCCCCATGTGCCCTCCAGACCACCCTCTCAGCCCCATGTGTGCTGTGACAGTGTGACGGTCCAGGAGCGCGACCTGGACATGGCATTATTCCATCCGCACCCCTTGCCATCATTCCCCTCTTACCCCCCCTGGACTCAAAACTCACTCCCCAACCCTCCCTGCCCTGACTGGTGTGCTGCGCTGGTCCCCCGTGACCCCCCCACAAGGTTAAAAAATATGGTTTTGTAGATTACGGTCCGTTCTTTACGGTCCGTTTTTTACGGTAATTTTTCAAAAATAAAGCCGTTGTTTTGTTAGAGAACTCTTATCATCAAGAAAAAAAAGGCAAAAACAAGGTCGGATACAATTTCAATCATGCCCACACATGCACACATGCAAGGAAGGGTTCGTCCTCTTCATCCTGGTAAAATTCGAGATCAATATGGTCTCACAAAATGGCCGATTTTTTCTTCGAATGAAAATCACCTTCTGCAAGTTTTACGGTACCGTTTTTTACGGTAATAATAATTAAAAAAAAAAAAAAAAAAAAAAAAAGGTCGTTTTTTTCAACCTTGCCCCCCCCAGGTGCGTGATCTGGACTTGGCCGTGCAGGTGGTGGGCACGCCCCTTTGAATTCGGCTCAATATTTACCTCCCAATCTTCCCCTCCCATGGCTGCTGTGCTGCGGCGTTCTTGTTCCCCAGGTGCGTGATCTGGACATGGCTGTGCAGGTGGTGGGCGCGCCGCTGCTTCGTGAGGCGGATGGGCTGGCCATGAGCAGCCGCAACGTACGCCTCACCCCCGAGCACCGGCAGCAGGTGAGGCGAGGTTCACTTGGTTGGGCAGTGAGAGCATGGTTGGGAGACGAACAGGGGGATGAATAGGTTCGGTTGATAGCATGCACGTACATTGGGGGTTTGTGCTGAGAGATCATTATGGTGATGTGTCACATCATTGCACTGTACCACGTCATTGCACTGTACCACGTCATTGCACTGTACCACATCATTGCACTGAACCACATCATTGCACTGTACCACATCATTGCACAGTACCACATCATTGCACAGTACCACATCATTGCACTGTACCACATCATTGCACTGTACCACATCATTGCACTGTACCACATCATTGCACTGTACCACATCATTGCACTGTACCACATCATTGCACTGTACCATGTCATTGCACTGTGCCACATCATTGCACTGTACCACATCATTGCACTGTACCACATCATTGCACTGTACCACATCATTGCACTGTACCACATCATTGCACTGTACCACGTCATTGCACTGTACCACGTCATTGCACTGTACCACGTCATTGCACTGTACCATGTCATTGCACTGTACCACATCATTGCACTGTACCACATCATTGCACTTTACCACATCATTGCACTGTACCACATCATTGCACTGTACCACATCATTGCACTGTACCACATCATTGCACTGTACCACATCATTGCACTGTACCACATCATTGCACTGTACCACATCATTGCACTGTACCACGTCATTGCACTGTATCACGTCATTGCACTGTACCACGTCATTGCACTGTACCACATCATTGCACTGTACCACATCATTGCACTGTACCACATCATTGCACTGTACCACATTATTGTACTGTACCACATCATTGAACAGTACCACATCATTGCACTGTACCACATCATTGCACAGTACCACATCATTGCACTGTACCACATCATTGCACTGTACCACATCATTGCACTGTACCACATCATTGCACTGTACCACATCATTGCACTGTACCACATCATTGCACTGTACCACATCATTGCACTGTACCACATCATTGCACTGTACCACATCATTGCACTGTACCACATCATTGCACTGTACCACATCATTGCACTGTACCACATCATTGCACTGTACCACGTCATTGCACTGTACCACATCATTGCGGCCTGTGTGGCCCTGCCATGCGGCCTGTCTGTATGGCTCTATCCATGGCAGGCTCTCTCCATCAGCTCGGCACTGCTGGCAGCCAAGGCAGCAGTGGAGGCGGCTCACAGCGGGGCGGGCGAGAGTGAGCGAGGCGAGGGGCACGCACAGGCGGCCGATGCAAGCGCGGTGGTGGAGAGAGTGAGGCGAACGGTTGAGGAGGCAGGGGGGCGAGTGGAGTATGTGCAGGTAGGCATGGGATGGGATGGAGATGAAGCAGCATGGGATGGTGACGGGGCTGTGTGTGTTGTCTGGTAGCATCAGCTTCTTGCTTCCCTCCCACCTCCCTCCACCATGCCAGCATGACACTGCACAGTTGCTACATTACTCTCATCATAATACCTCTGCATGTGTGAACGTTCCTGGTTGTGACTAGTCTGTTGTGTTGTGTGTGTTGTGGTTTGACAGTTGGTGGAGCAGGAGAGTCTGGAGCCTATCTCGCGCATCACTCACCCTGCTGTGCTTGCAGTGGCAGCCCATTTTGGATCAGTGCGTCTCATAGACAATGTGGAGATTGATGTTCACACATAGTCGCCTGTAGGTTTGTGTATTGTTGGGCTGAGAAGAGCCCTTAGGATCTTTGCAGGACTAAATTCTGAGTAGGACAATGTAATAGCGGAAGCGTTTAATGAAAGGTTTGTGAACCACCTTGCACTGGTATGTGAGGGCAAAGTAGATTGATTAAAACAAAGAGATACAAGCTTTTATAAGAGTACAAGGAATATGAAGGGTTATAACTAATAACTGTTTTGCTGTTGCTGTTGCGGTTTGATACAGTGACGACTCGGGCAACTGCTAAATAGCGAGTCAGTTGTTTGTCCTTGCTGTCGCGCTGTACTTGTCAGGTCAAAGGTCGCTGACCTTTGACTTTCGCGTAACCTCCAGCAGTTGTTCAACCTCCGAGGGTTGACTCGCCAATGCTTTGATATGTTTCTCTTCGCTTCTGTCTTGGTGTTTCGACACAACAGAGGCGCTAAATCAATTGTTTCCAACACTCCCCTTCGCTTCTGGAGTGTCGTTGCTGGTGACGTGGCTTTGTCCAGTCAGCAGCATGCAGTACTCGAACTTCTGCTTCCCGAGCTTCTTGGTCAAGTAATCAGCTGCCATCTCGGACGTGGGACAGTAAGACAGCTCGAGTCTCCCCTTCTCGATCTCGTCTTTTACGAAGAAATATCGCAGGGCGATATGCTTTGTCCTGTTCGCGAATCCAATTTTGTTGGCTATGCGAATTGCCGACTGGTTCTCGCAGAACAGGGAGAAGCTGGGCAACTGAGCCAGCTTCGCCTCCTCCAGAAGTTCGCGAAGGTACAGTCCTTCCTTGGTGGCTGAGCAGAGTGCGATATATTCTGCTTCAGCTGAAGAGAGGGCGATTAACTCCTGCTTGCTTGACTGCCACGAGATGGGTCCGATAGGTTCGAGGCGATAGATGTAGCTGGTGCGCGAGCGTCTGTTGTCGGAGTCGTCGGCGTGATCAGCGTCAACGTAGCCGATTAGTTTAGGCGTTGTAGTTCCGTTCTTGTGGTAGGTTAAGCCGACGGTCGGGGTGCTGACGAGGTAGTGGAGAGCGCGGTCGAGTTCCGCCATGTGTTCTGCTTCAGGTTTCTTGAGGTAGGTCGCGAGCTGGCTAGCGGAGTACGATAGATCCGGACGGCAGGTGACAGCTGCGAAGAGGAGGCAGTCCAACTTCTTCTGGTAGTCGCGTATGCCTGCGGGATTGAGCAGAGTGGAACTTTCCTTGTGATTTCCTGCGGTGTAGCGGTAAGGCGTAGAGATGTGTCAGAATGAGAGAAGTGATTGCACTAGGAAAGGGTTGGGTACAAGTAGGAAACCCTAAACTTACTGTACCCCATAGTAACTACCCCACTACAGCCTAAACAAACTGTAGCACATATAACATTTGACACACCCCCACAGGCAAAGTGGGGGAGAGCAAGGGGTCACAAGACCTGTCAAGAAAGACAAAGCAAGCTCAGGGTGGATCACAACGTCACCACACTCACTGAGCCCAAGCAAAGGGCCACAAGGCCAGTTCACATGCAGAGGCCTATATGGAACACAAACATCACAATGATCTCTACCTAGCAAAGCAAGCATGCAGGTATGTATATATATATATACATATATATCACAGTTCAAGCAAAGCCTACAGCAAGTGAGGAAAAGTGGGCACAAGCCCTAGCATAGTGCAGAAACGCTGATGATCACCAGACTGAAGTGCCTTGGTGAATATATCAGCAGTGTTGGCCCGAGTGGCCACGTAACGCAGACGAAGCTGACCACGCTGCTGCAACTCTCGAGCAAAGAAGTAAAGCAGAGCGATGTGCTTCGTTCGGTGCTCCAATCTATGCTCCTCACACAAGGCAATGGCTGCCTTGTTGTCGACGTACAGCACTGGAGGAGAACGAGGCCGCTCTCCCAAGTCGGTCAGCAGGTAGGTGAGCCAGCGTAACTCCTGTGCAGCCATGGCTGTGGCGTATATCTCAGCCTTACAACTGGAGCTGAGAACTGAAGACGAACGTGTAGAACGCCAAGAAACTGAACCAGAGCCAAGGCTGAAGGTGTAACCCTGTGACGACCGCTGAGTAGCCTGGTCGTCAACCCAAGAAGCGTCTGAGTGCCCAGTGAGAACAACTGAGCTCCTCCCTCCAAGCACGAGCCCCATGCCTGATGTACTGCACAAGTATCGTAGTACCCTCTTAGCAGCATCCATGTGCACCTTTCGGTGCCGACCAGGAGCCACGTAGCGAGCCAGAAGGCCAAGAGGGTACGCGAGGTCAGGACGAGTGCAAGTCATCAGGTACATGAGGCAGCCAAATAGCTCTGGGTAAGGACCACTCGGCTCTACGGACTCGTCCGAAGGTGGAGCTGAGAGCGAGTGACCTGTAGCCAGAGGAGTCGACTGTGCCGAGGACCAGGTGAAGCCGAAGCGCTGAAGGACCTGCTGCACCATGTGTGACTGAGTCAGTGTGATGGTGCGGCGTGCTCTGTCCCGGGTGATCTGCAAGCCAAGGTAGCTGCGACTGGACAGGCAGAGGACACTCTAAGGAGGGAGCAGGACAAGGAGAAGGCGGCTGACCAAGAACCTGCTGAAGGAGCGGAACGAAGTACGGCCGCGGCCGTGAAGCGCCCCCAAAACCAGCAGAGACAGCACCAGAACCCCCAGCAGCAGCCTCCTGTAGCACCACCAGCAGCTCCAGTAGTGCCAACTCCAGTACCCCCAGTAGCACCAGCTCCAGCCGCACCGTCGGCTCCAGCACCTGCAGGAGGACGAGCGTCAGCACCTCCAGCTCCAGCCCCTGCAGTACCAACCCCAGGGTCAGCAGTTACACCAACTCCAGTAGGCCCAGCGTCCTCAGCTCCACCGACAGCTCCAGCAGCTCTAGCACCTCCAGCTCCAACTCCAGCACCAGCAGCACCTCCAGCAGCTCCAGCACCAGCAGTACCAGCTCCAGCTCCAACAGAACCCCTAGTCCCAGCAGCTCTAGTATTGCCTGTACGAGCACCTCCAGGACCAGAGGCTCCAGCACCTCCAGCAGCACCAGGGCCTCCAGCGGGCGGCACCCCAGCACTAGGAGCGCCGCTCCGGAGGCTGCAGCGCCGAGCGTACCACTCACGCAGCCGCTGTGGGGAGGGAGGCTCCGGCCGCGACTCAGCACCCGCAGCACCACCAGCTCCAACTCCGGCAGAACCCCCAGCTCCAGTAGTCCCACGCCGGAGGCTGCAACGCTGAGAGTACCACTCACGCAGCTGCTGTGAAGAGGGAGCGCCACCAGGCGCAGCACGGTCAGGCTCAGCTCCCCCAGGCTCAGCACCCCCAGTCTCAGCACCCCCAGGCTCAGCACCCCCAGTCTCAGCACCCCCAGGCTCAGCACCTCCAGTCGCAGCACCCCCAGGCTCAGCACCCCCAGTCTCAGCACCCCCAGACTCAGTACCCCTCGTAGGACCAGAGTCGACAGCTACCTCGACAGGCTCGACCGGGTCTACCTGGGAAACACCTGAGGGAGCAGGACCCTGGGGAGAGAGGGGGTCTACCGAAGGGACACCTGGGGTGAGGAAGAGCGGTGGGGGGGGAAGCGGCGCAGTGCGGTAGGGGAACAGACGGTAAAAGGGTACTGACTCGTCAAAAGTGACGTCCTGAGAGGGGAAGACACGGCGCGAGGTGGGGTGGTAAAACTGCCAGCCAGGCGCGTCAGGGACAAAGCCAAGGAAGATACAAGGAACGGCACGGGAGGAGAGCTTGTCCGCGGACGTATCGCGGACAAAGGCTCGACATCCCCAGACCCGGAACACCGACGCATCGCCAACCTCCCCCGTCAAACGCAGTGTGGGCGAGGTCTCCGGAGCAGAGACACGGGGCCAGAGGTTGAGCTGATGCGCAGCGTACTGGACTGCAAACGGCCACAGGAAATGGGGGGCAGCCGCATGGATCATGGAGGTACGAGCGACCTCCATGACTAAGCCAATGCGGCGCTCAGCAACCCCATTCTGCTGTGGAGAGGCCGGAAGTGTGAACGTCTGGCGGATGCCGTGCTCCGCACAGTAGGCTGCCAAGAGGTCGGAGGAAAACTCACCACCCCTGTCAGAGTGCAGACGCAGGACGGGAAAGTCCGACTGGAACCGCTCGCGGAGCAGGAGACGAGCAGCGCGGATCCAAGGGATCAAAACATCAGGGACCTCACCCTTGGTGCGCAAGGGGAAGACCGTGGTGTAGCGCGAGTAGTCGTCGACGACCAGCAGGAAGTACTGCTCGTGGCCCTGTCCACGGACGCGGGCTGGGCCCCACACGTCCAGGTGGAGAGTCTCCAGGGGAGCCTCTGTGGGAGGGAACGAGGAGGAGTGAGGAGTGGCGTGCTGCCGCCCCTCGACACAGGGAAGACAGGGAGGAGCAGGCGAGGGTGGGAGGGGAGGGAGAACCCTAGGAAGACCAGAGACAAGGTACCGGGAGTGCATGCCACGAAGGCGCTGCACTGACGGGTGACCAAGACGGTGGTGCCAGAGTAGTGTCTGGTGTGACAGGGAGCGACACGAGCAGGGGGCCGACAGCTGACCCGATGCAGACGCAGACGCAGCTACCTGAGGGGACTCAGTGGTCAGTGTGTACAGGTCCGACCCCGGCTGCCGAGTGAAGGTAGCTAGGTGGCGACCCGTCCGAGCACATGTACAGTGGGTCACACACTTATAGGCAGGGGTGAACTGGTGAACACCCCCGTCCTGGAGAGCAGAGCCCGCCACCAAGTTCGTAGAGAACGAGGGGAGGTAAAGACCCGACAGGGTGCCGGACGGGACCGCAGGACAAGGGAGGACAGTGGAGGAGGTAGCAAGGACTGGGCCCCCAGAGGGGTCAGCGAGGGAGACAGCAACAGGCCGAGCTAGCTGCTCAAGGACAGTGCGGTCACGAAAGAAGCAGCGGGAAGCACCCGAGTCCAGTGTGAAGGTGTGCAGTGCCTCAGTAGACGCAGTAGCAGCAAGCGCAGATGCACGAGCACCTGGAGCAGCAGACTCACTAGCACCTAGGGCAGCAGCCTCACCAG